TTTTCCCGTGGGATATTATATGAACACATCCTGAAAGCGCTGTTAATGTTTTATGTAACACTAAGGGTTCGATATACAGTAAACCCTCGCTAATCCGGATTAACTGGTGGTAGGTCATCCGTATTAACCGATAATCCGGATTAACGTAGCAAAAGATGGCCCTGAAAGAGAACCTATCTTGGATATATTTTTGCGTCGCTTCAGTCTCTCCAGCTACCCCTCAACATAGTCTGAAAGTCCTTTCGCTCCTAAATCCCACATGTCGTATGCACTCAACTCTGAACGGTTTCATATTTCGATCCGAATTAACTGTAACCGGATTAGCGAGGGTTTACTCTACCCACCTTTGCTTAAAATTAGGTTACTCTGTAAAATGCGCAACAACCGTTCACAGATAGCAGCGCTGTCCTGGCATCTACGTCATTTTTTCACAAGAGAGATGACGAATGTGAGTCCAGACACCATTAGCGCTTTATCATAGACTCGCATTATACGACAATCAACGCAAGCAGTTTCGAGCAGAACTAATAAAGTCCACTTCCCTACTGCATAAGCATTGTCCCATAAATCTATTTCTACATTTATTATTCTATATTATTACTGTGCAGAGCTTATTCCTAAAGCGGACCTCTAGTCTACGACAAACTTGTCGAAGGTGCTGGAAACTGAGGATGTAAAAACAAAATTTTATACATAAACGTGGTTACCACCTGTCTCCACACGTCTTGCTCCAGATGTTCACCCGTTATCACCATCAAACCAAAGGATACGTGTAAATCTTACGCAGTTGGCACTTCGTTTTAAACATTCAATAAAAAAAAAAACTCCGCGGTTTTAGTCCGCAAGCGAAATACACCGCCGCGTGTCGGCGAAGTTAGTGCCAACTTTAGCGGTTAGAGGGTGTCGCATGGTCAGGGCAATGAATACCCACTGCAGTTAATTTCGATTTTCTAGAAAAACTTATTTAATACTTGTAGAAGTTGTATATTTTCAAAGAACTATTATTATATATCATTTCAGGATTATGGAAGGCATGGCTCTTCAAAACTAGGCAGACCAGAATGGTATATGTAACCTGAGGAACGAAATGTTAAGATTTTGCTGCACTGTACAATCATAGAAATACTGTCAATGTAGGGACGATGTGACAACTGCTTTGACCATTGGGCCAGTGATTGCCACACTAATATATAAATTTTACCTCAAACATACGGAAGCAATCCAATGTTCTAATTTTAAAATCTATCCCTGTAACAGGTAGTGGAGGCCCATAGGGTTCTGAAATGTTGAGGATCCCACATTTTCCCAGACAACTGGCTCACAGATGGCGCTGAAGTTCTCAGCCTGACACGCCGGCTTCCCTTTACCATCAGGAAGATTCCTGGCAGTCATTTCTGTTAGAGGCTGAGTCAACCCCAGGGCCATAGAGTTGCTGGAAGGATTTCGGTCAATTGAAAAAACCAATGACCTCATCGAGAATCGAACCCGCTACCTGCGAGCTTGTTACAGATACTAATTGGCTGGGCACAACTTCCAAAATGTAAATGTCACTCCCACAAATAAACATCACAGTATCCCCAAAGTCATATATACAACTAAACTTTATTTAATTCCAGAGAAGGAATTGGCTTTTCGGTGTAAGCAGATACTCACGAGCAGTAAAGAAATCTGGAGGACAGAGTAACGCAGTATACTGTTACTCCTCAGGAAATCCTTTTTTATGTTTATTGCTGTTCGGATAGTTACAGCTGAAGACAATGGAAATAGCTTTATTAAGAAATACTCTGGAACTAAGTGAATGACCTTTACCCATGTCTACATCCATTTCCTACTCTGTATATTACAAACAGACCTCCTATGGTAGCAGACAAACTCTGTAATGGATAAAATCTTTGCCACTGAAATCGGGTTGCAGCAGCATATACAAAACATTAAACTATCGTTGCTACAATACCAATAATGACCATCGTAAAATATGGGCTCTGCCATTTTGAACATAAAATGTCCCGGTCAGTTACACTCTTTACACTATAACACTGAGTGGAGAGTTCCCTGCATTCCATACAAAACGCCTGTGAAACAAACAACAGAAGAGAACAGGCAAAAAACTGATGACCTGTATGATGCAAAGCGGTCATAAACTGTATCATATCTGTTACCTGTCTGAGGATAAATAGGCCTATATACAAGTATACACAACTGAATAAATAAGTGAACTAGCATATCTGTGACATTGTGACCCAAAGTTCTGCACGGCCAGTTCCAAAACCCATCAGCAGAAAAAATCCAGTTTACATATCCGTAATCTCGCGTCTTATGATACATTGTTACTGCCATCATCTCATTTTGTTCAACTAGTGGCTATCAGCGTGATTTTCCCACTAAAATTCTGTGTGCACACCCCCTCATAACAAGTTTCATGGTGAAGCAGTAACAACATTAATGAGTGAAGGAGGCTTCGACACATCACAAAGATCATGGTTCTTATGTTGAAGAGTGCATCCACCCGCTTCCTTGGCCCAGCACATACTAGTCTCAAAATGATGTGCTGTTGGTGACAGGGTCTCAACCTTTTGCATCACGCATTTCATGACTGATCTCATCAAAATAATTACAGTCTCACCACACTACAAAACAAAGCTCATCTTTCCCCAAGAAGCAAAAGGTTGCAACAGTCCACATTTTAGCGGTATATTAATTTAGGTTCTTATTTTCGAGACGCTCAGTCAGTCATTAAATTGTGTGCTAACACTTGGTATATGCTACATAACATGTATGTACAGCTGATTCCAAGCAAAACATTAGTATGCTGGTTGAATAGGAAACACAATTATTGTTTGATATTCCTGGTGACATAATGCTAGCCAGACCAGAGCATTTTCCATTGGAATTTAAAGGATACAGAGCAACCTGGATCACGTGCAAGCAAAGACAGCATGAGAAGTGAGTAACATTTCTATACAAATCATTCCGTGTTTTCTTTTGTATTGTCAAGTAAACTACAAAAGAACCCATAATCTGTTACATGTCAGTTTTATTACATTTTTATATCTTCTGTCTCACATTTTCTCTCATGCTGAGGGGAGATGATAGATCAGAAGCAAACTACAAAGGAGAAAAGTGGAAGCTGCTAAGTTTACTAACATAAGAGAGAGAAAAAAACACAACAAATATGGATAATCTGTTGGCAGTTTTTGTTAAATGACAGACTTTTTCTTTCAATTAATCTTTAAGCAAGCAGCAACTCTATGTAAACCACGCTTTAACAAACACAGCATTTTACCCCCTTGATCAATTTATATGTTTCATAAGATCCTTATGATAAACAGAGATTATTATCCTAGAAAATATTAACACGTTGCTCTTTGTAATGGAGATGCAGTGTGTTTCCTGTGAGGTATGGACTGAATTTATGTATATTATTTAGATGAACTTCAGGCTTCAGTGCATAAATAAATGATCCTCCATAAAAATGGTAACCTTAAGATCTGACAAGCAGGCATGACATATACAAACATCTTCCCATTCACATTACAGAGTCAAATACATTAGTCATACATTCCATATTCATTGTTTTTTGGGGGGGGGGGAAGAAATCAAAGTGCACAGATTTTAATGCTGTAAGCATGGGCTCAGGCACAAGTATTCTACCACCCCAGATGCCTCCCTCCGAAAGGTGTGACTAACACATTCTGTAAATATATCTGTCAAACATGGCATACACATTGGCTATTTTTATCCCTAAGTTACTTCAATTTAATGCCGGTTTATCCCTGCCATGATTTTGCTCCTGTTTATGTTGGGTTCTCTTTTTGCTGCACTTATATTCTGATCACTACATTCTATAAAATTAATTTTTTCCATACCTCCTCATTTAAATCTGCATAACAAAAGTCACTTTCATATTTACCTTGACAAATTCTTGCTGAAAGTATACCTATTCATAGCATCTTAACAAAAATCTTGTGATGTAGCCAAAAACAGAGTTCACATGTAATATAACATGGCTACAGTGCACTGTATAGGCCAATTTGAAGCATATTATCTTCTTGGATGTGACACCGTGTAGTTTGGTAGAATTTTACCAGCATTTTTGAGGATCATATTGCCTGTGTCTTCAAGCCCTGCTTGCTGATTGACTCTTGCACGTTGTTTCCTTGACAGTTCATTCCTAAAAAACACTGGTTAACAACTACCAGACTAGACAGTATCACATCCAGATGACAGCACTCTTCACTGCTGTGAGAATCTCAAATTCCCCCACCATATAACTTCATCACTTTAAAGAAAAGCTGCAAACAGACAAGGCTGGAAATATAAAAATGCATAAGCAAATTACGAATTGAAATACTTGTGTAAACTGAAAAACAGCAACCAAGAGACTTAAAGGCGTCCTCAAGTTTAATTTAATTCAAGCTTCCCAGTCGTATATGAAAACAGCAGTTTCAAAATGCAATATGTGGGCACATTATCCATACAATACTTATGGTCCAATGACGATATGACAGCATCTAAACAGGCAGCTGCTTCATAAAAAGAGACGGTGCTGTTATAATTCAAACATGGGATTCATGAGTCAAACTATAAAATACTGCACACTATAATAAATATTAAGTCTTCTGTGATATGATGCTGCGCAGTCTCATAGTTAATATGTACCGTACCCTGAAGATGGATGGAGCAGATTCCTTGAAACAGTTGGTAACCATCTCCCAGATTACATGGCATCACATCCCAGAAAAGTGCAGTATTAATATTCAGTGCCAGGAAAAATCTCAGATCCTATACAGGTTAAAGTTTAGTTCAAAAGTTGTGGGCTAGTTTTGAAATAATAATTTTGTGTAGGCTCAAGATAAAAAGCACTAAAAAATTACTCCTTAATTTCACCTGTAGACAGGGCTATATTCTGGATAGAGCTAAAGGAAATATGTTCTGAATTCCTCTTTCTCTGTAAGCTCAGAGCCTTTTACGTCTATTATGTTGGTGGTGATTCTTATTACCGTTGCCATACCGCCTGTCTGCAAGGTCCTCCGCAGCCTCATTAGGTGGGTCATACACAGAGGGCACTGGTGGGTACTGTATAGGTTTACGATCAGCATCAGTGAACACAAAATGTGGGGCAGGATGATAAGGCACCGGTCCTATGTCAGGAGAAGTCTGTGTGAAAGTTGGTGGGTGGGAGGCCTCCATTAAGGAGGGCTGCAAACCCTGAAAATAACAACGAAATTATTGATAATAATGACTAACACATTTTCTGAAAACAAGAATGAAAAGAGACACCCCTTAAATGTCTGTGAATGCAATCAGACGTGACTGTGAACTCAATAATGGATTACCAAACCTGACAATGAGTAAAATATGTAACAAAGTTCTGTTCATCTTCTCTTATTTGATGTTTACATTGACTAAGCACTCCTCATGGTTGAAACCCTGTAACTTCGTTGGTAAATGTGCTAATTCTTTCATTTACCCTATACATACAATAGAATGAGTTCTCTTGTCTATTCCTAAGGTAGTCACAAACAATCCTGGCTACCCTTGGCTCAAGGTTCTCTGTTGGAGATGATCATGTCTACAATGCAAATTCATAACTGCTCAGGAATTTACTGCAGACTTTTTCATAGCTGTGTCCAGGGTGTGGTCCTAGACATAGAAGTGCCAGGGCGGTGTAGGATGCAGTTGAAACCAATGGCTAAATGTCATGACATGAAACCAGTCTCAGCACGTTATGGCAGCCCTGCACATCTACATGCAAGAGCAAAAGACAAATAGCTCAAGAAATGCACACACTGCCACTCAAGATGGCAGAGAATGCAAGGATATATTTGTAAAGAACATCTTGACTGTCACACTCTGTTAACATATTAAAAACCAGAATCCAATAAGGCATAATTATTTTAGCAATTAAATAAACAAAATTATTCCTCCCTCACATATTTCGGCCAATAGTGGCCATCAGCAAACGAGCATGATGAAAGAAATGTTCTACACAAGATGTCACTACAGTACCATCGCAGGGACTTGTGACATGTAGAAAAACAAAGTACCTTACATGCTGGCCAGCAAGCCCTTCCCCCCCGGAAGATTCCTGCTACTCATTTCTGTTAAGGCTGAGTTGACCCTGGGGCCACAGTGCAGCTGGAAGGAGCAGGTCAATTAAACAATCCAATGACCTGATCGGGAATTGAACACTTGACCTTCCAGCTTGTCGCACAGTGCCTCAACCAACTACACTACCACATGCCCCTGACAAGTGGTAGGTGAGAGTATTAAAACTAAGTAGTTAAAACCAATTAAAATAAATTACGAAGGCCAACGTTTTCTACAGTTGACAGAGTACAATTTTTCCTGACTGTTACAGTTTTAGGCCATGCTGCATGCGTTCCAGTAGAGTTCATAACAAGAGCTGAGATTTAATTCACTTAATTATAAAAGGACAACCCTTGATGGAGTTAAGCTCTTCCTAATACAACACAAGAACTTCATGTTTCACATCTCTGTACTTAAAAGAAATACCAGGACACAGACCTAGCATATAAAGAGGCAAAATGGCGCCCTCGGTTACACCTAACTTAGCTGAGAATGAATACAGGTGGTGTGGGTGGATGTCAGCCACCTGCTACTTCTATCTAACCTACAGTGCATACATCCCCTCTATCACCACCAATAACAATTAAAGGATGCAAAGAGGTAGACCGCTGATGGAGGTGGGGAAAGCTTGCAGAAGGGTGGTAGCTGCTGGGAAGAGGGGTGGGGGAGAATCTGTGTTCATTCTTTCCCTGATCTGACTGGTGGGGCAACATTAGCTCACTGGAGGGGAATAGAGATATCAGTCTGAGTGGGTAAGTAGAAGCTTGAGTCTACTGCATGTTCTTGCAATATATCTCTACCTGTAGTGTGGCTGCGTGCAGGAGGTCTGGCTCCGAGTGGTAGCTGCGGTGGACATGGTGGTAGTAGGGGGGGTGTGGTGGATGGTACACGTCAAACCAAGCACTTGTCACTTTCTTCATGGCCTGAGCTGAGGCCAGAGCCAGCGCCATCTTGCTGAGCAGAAGAGCCTTTCCTGAGATAACTGCCATGAACTGGAATCCAAGGGGAACCAGGATCACCAACATCTTCATGAAGGCAAACATCATCAGAGGGAACAGGTGCTTGTAGTGGTGACGGGCCCTCCCTGCAAACACGGTAGATCAACTGCCACAATTATCTCAATCCATTCCCCAATGTACACACAAATTTTTTGAAGTATCAAGTTTAATATCTATGCCCAGGAATTCCAAAATTGTGTCTTCCTCTCTAGTTTTCCAATTACTGGAACTCAGAGAGAGATCAGCTTCTGGTTAAGCTGATGAAGTTAATATATTGAGCAGAAACATAAATACGAGCATCATGAAAGAAAAGATGCTAAACTTACACACCAGTACCTGAGGCTGGTCTACTCAAAACCTATTTAACAGATTTCAACGACTTTCATAATGGAAGTCTACGAGAAAAGTTGTTGGGGATACGAATTCATATTCATTTCAGCCTAGTATGGGCCTGGTTTACATGACGCCTGTGTCGAACATTTATCGTTTGGGTTAAAATGGATCAGCATGATAAACGTCGGTGGGCAACATAACATGTGGATGTGATTAGTATCTGAAAGTTTTAACTGACATGTACTTGAAACTTTCTTGGGAACATTACACAATGAAGTCTTCTCAGGCGATAAGCCATGTTGGTGTGGAGTTGGTGTCTGGCGTTTAGGAGGCGGTCTCTGCCTCCATCAACAGGAGTTCACTTTATGAGTATCAGATTCGTACAATATATATATATATATATATATATATACAGGGTGTCCCAGGAGGAATGGACCAAACACCCTGTATATATATGTATACAAAAATGTACTCACTCTTTGACAGTCAATATCTTTGGAACAAAATGAAATGTAGTTACAGTTCTTGCGCGGTAGTGTAGTGTAACGTTCTCTCAACAGATGGCGAAGGTCACATGAGTCACGTGAGTGTCGTGCCGCGTGCGCGCTGCGAGCAGAAGACAGCAGCAACAATTGCTGAGAGGTTGTTCTTTGAGCAATGCAAGGCTGTACTGAAGTGGTACTGACGAGGCGCAATTCAAAATGAACGGTACTGTTAACCGCCACAATCGTGTGTATTGGGCTCCTGTAAATCCACACGTTCACGTGGGCAAGAAAGTGAATCTACAGGGTGTTAATGTGTGGTGTGGTCTGTCATCGCGCGGTTTGATTGCTCCTTTCTTCTTTGAAGGTACCGTAACTGGTCAGGTGTATCTCGATATGCTTAAGACATCAATTTTCCCTGCCATTCGAGAGCTGTTTAGAGATGAGAGATTTTACCTACAACACGATGGTGCTCCACCTCACTACCATCGAGATGTCAGGGCGTACTTGGATGACACTTTACCTGGACGATGGATAGTTCGAAGAGGTGCTACTGTGTACCCACCACGGTCTCCAGACCTAACATCTCTCGACTTCTACCTATGGGGAGCCTTGAAGGATGAAGTTTATCGACGAAAGCCAGCTACACTGAACGCGCTATGAGAAACCATCTCGTGTGCAGCCATCACACCGGACACACTGACAGCCGTAGTTCGCTCAGCAGTTCGGCGGCATCGACGCTGTTTAGCCGCTGATGGTGGTCACTTCGAACACATTCAATGACTCTTTCTCTCCGTGCAAGAATTGTAACTACATGTCAATTTGTTCCAAAGATATTGACTATCAAAGAGTGAGTACATTTTTTTGGACCCCTCTGTATATACGCAAATATTTTATATGTTCTAATACATGAACATATGATGAACACGTAACGAACTGCAAAGACAAATCATGCATGCTTCCAAGCAGTGCTATAAGCTTGCAATATGGACACTAAGACTGCGCACCTATGCCACATTTGGGATCACGGATAGGAACATTCGTGCTCCCAAGTAGAGTGCAGTTTCCCGCTCTACTTGTAACGTACGAGTATGCTGTTTGTTGTTATAGTCCACTGAAGCATGAAAAGTTCCAACAGTGGCGCTCCTCTCAACATCTCGCTTTGATTTTCAAACTCTGTAGAAACAGTCGAGAATCGTTACAGAATTTAATTTACCCATTTCATTGGTTTCCAGACCTGAATAACTTTACATACATTTCCTTAATTTGAATATCTTTAGCTCCCCTCTCCGTAAAAGTTTTCTTCTGTCTCTGTGAATGCTGTGTTTTTACTAATAAAGAATTAATTTCATTCGACGTCTGATCACTATAAAATTGTATACGTACAGGTCGAACATTCTCTTTAACGTAATATTTTACGTACACGACTGTATCACAGAGAAGACATATTAGAGTGATGTGGTTTTGGGAAGCGGGAACAATGGGGGTGTATTTTTAATATCAAGGTTGGCACCACTGATGTAGGTCCTTATTCGTTGCAGAAGAAGTATACGGCGACATCATAACATTTCTGTATCAGCTGATTATTGATTGGTTACTGTAATATAGCTCAAGACTATTTAGCGTCGAATAGTGAACTGGAAAGCGTGTGGCAGGAATCAGTCGTGGCCCGACTTGGGGTCCTATGCCGCCATTTGCCTGGAGGGGCTAACGGACATCGCGAAAACCTCAGTCAGGATGGTCTTACTTACTTACTCATGGAGCTGAGCCCTTCTGGAGGGGCCACCAATTCTGCAGCTACTCAAGAATTTCCCAGCATTTTATGGAACCCGAAGGTTCACTACCGTGTTCACAAGAACCGAGCACTGGTCCCTATCCTGAGCCAGATCAATTCAGTCCATACAACCCCATCCTATCTCTCTAAGATCCATTTTAATATTGTCCACCCACCTATGTCTTGGTCTTTCCAGTTGTCTCTTTCTTTCTGGCTTTCCCCCAAGTATCTTATATGCATTTCCCTTCTCCCCATTAGTGCTACATGCCCTGCCTACCTCATCCTCCTTGACTTGATCATTCTAATTATACTTGGAGAAGAGTACAAGTTATGAAGCCCCTCATTATGCTGTTTTCTCCAACCTCCTGTCACTTCATCCCTCTTCAGTCCAAATATTCCCCTCAGCACGCTGTTCTCAAGCACCCTCAGTCTATGTTCAGTCAGGACGGTCTATATACACTAATTGTTTATCCGTTACAACACAAGTACTCTCGGAATCTCGTTCATACAACTGTGCATAACGAGTTTATTGATTTCAGTAATATCTTGCTACATGTTTCGGCTTATGAAAAGCCATCATCAGGCAGATATACACTAATAACTTATTCTTAAACCACTGAATTGCATTCTGTATGAATATATATGTCACAGTATTACAATTATTACTAATGCTCCAGATTTCCTGCTTTCTATACTTCGGTATGTCTCGTTATACACAGCTGATGTGGACGAGATTCTGAGAGTTGCTATGTTGTGGCGGAAAAACAAAAATGAGTGTAAGCTAACACAACAGGATGCATACCTTGAAGTTTTTTGTATTGCTAGTGGGGTGTGACTAAGTCCCGTGTACTGCGCCCACTTCTGGCCTATTGTATCAGCCCCAGATGATAGGTGAGGGTGATTGTGGAGCAATTGGTGGAATGAAGATTGGCAGGGGAAACCGAAGTACTCGGAGAAAACCTGCCCCAGCGCCACTTTGTCCACCACAAATCCCACTTGACCAGACCCGGTGGGAAGCCAGCGACTAACCGCTTGAGCTATGGCGCCTTGAACATGAGTCAATACAAAGCACGGAACTCACCTGTCACCGGACACACATAGAGAGCGCACCTCGAGAGGGGAGAGGACAGCCTCACGAAATGTTCCGTTGCCGAAAGAATGGCCATAACCACCAAACACAGAAGATGATTATTTTTTTTATAAAGTTGTAAGATTCAAAATCAATGGCCAGCTCAGAAGTTCGCACTCACCTTCCACTTGCTCAAGTCTCAGCCTGACGACGTGGGTCCTGCAAAGGTCTGCAACCCGGGACAACACCTGCCACCCCCAGCCTTCCTCGCCAGAAAGCGCCGACCTGCAAGAGATGCGCACTGTTTTGCTAAGCAGTCTGTGGTGCGCAGTCCTTCCGAGGCTGATAGTTCCTCATCTGGCAAAGAAATTTCTCCCCCTTCACGAAACCCGTGTTCAGAAGAGGCCGTCACTAGCTAGATAAACCCAATCCACCGCCTCTTAGTGTCTCTCTTTAAAATCCACTTTCATACCCTTCTCCTGGCTCTCGCAAATGATATCTTCCCGCCAAATTGTATAGGTAACATTTTGTAAGCGTTTTTATCTCCTTCATGCCTGCTGCATGTTGCACCCATCTCATTCGCCTTGATTTCAGCACCCTATTAATATCAAGATGAAGAGCAGAATTTCGGCAGGAATGTTTTCGGAAAAGCACGAAGGTGAAAACAGAAGGCTGATGATGATAACTAGAATAGCAATAATCTATATTTATTTCTATCAGTGTAACCCCTAATTATATATTTCGGCAGTAAGATGTTGATGGAAATACATGTAGACTCATTACAGCTACTATTACTATATGCTACAATCGATGCTGGTCGAGTCACTTTCTTGAAGAAGTCTCTATTCAGGGAGATGTCCATAAGTTACCGAAATATAATCAAAATCGTAACAGCTGTTTTCAATAATATTTCCTCTTTTTTTTTTTTCTGGGACCGACTGAAGAGCCCCTGTTTTTGGAGCTCCAATGTTCATTTATATTCACCGGGCACTGGTCTATGATGGATGGATTCACGAAAACCGNAAAAAAAAAAAAAAAAAAAAAAAAAAAAAAAAAAAAAAAAAAATCGTATTTTTTTGGAGGGGGGTAGGTGAAAAGATCCATCAAAATATCGGAATTGATTTTTTCTCGCTATCACAGTACTTGCTCTTATACAAGTACATGTATATGGTACACATATGAGAGTGTAAAAATATGCACTAAACACAAAGAGAGATTTCATCTGATTCGAAACATTTCCGCTCCGATAAATATTTAGGCTCGAGATGTTTACAGAAATGAATACACCTCGTCATGTGGCGGGCCGATTTAACCGACATTCGAATATGTTGCTAAATTTCGGTGCAGGTCCTCAATGTGGTACTAAAAATCCGTTTAGAATTACGTGCATTACGGGGCATTTCTGAACTTTTCGTTGCGAAGGCGCCGGAAATGGTGTCAGGGGCTGTGTGAGTATGTGAGTGAACTGCCGAGCACGATCTACCTGTTGTATGAGGCGGAGACATTTCCAGGAGGTAGGAGGGTGGCGTATCGGACAAGCTCCACTCCGCCCATCAGAGGAATGACGTCGGTACGGAGCATCCGGTCCAGAGCAGAAATGGTCTTCTTCTTCAGACACTGCCGTGTGCTGGACACGGATGTGCACTCCGCCAGCAAGTGTCTCAGAACTTTCGAGAATTCCTCCCACGTCCTGACGTAGAAAAACAGACATATCCGTCATCAGATGCAAGAATGCAGGATCGATAAATCCCTTCAGTTCTCTACATTTTAGCTAGATGTCGCAACTAATTACCATGACGACATTTTGTTACATGCACAGCTCACGCCGTTCAGCACGAAAACTTGAATTTCTGAAACGACAGGAACTCTGTGTTCACAGATCGCATCTCGCCCAGTTTACTGTTGGAATGACAGAAATGGAGTCTGTAAGACGCGGGACCCTGGACCTAAAAGTGGGAACGACTTTCTCTGAGGACAATATGGCATTTAACGACGCTGTCAGTAGCTCGGGCTGTATAGTGTTCGCTGATTGTGAATACTTAACGAGAAAGATAGTAGCGTAACCAGCATTTGTCTGGACAGTGAGGAACGCCATGAGAACCGTAAATTCCTCCATCCGGCCTCCAGGCCAGATCTGAATCTGGTACCACTCAGCCAGCAGCACACATGTGAACTTGTCTGGACGCAGTCAGTGGGCCCCAACATCCCCCTTTCAAGTCTGGCACGGGCCCATTCCACTCTGAATTACGGGCAAACTTCGGAACGAGTTCCATAATCCACTAATCGTCGTGGCCTGTCAACTTATTATTCCAGGAATTTACCCGGAGGGACTGAGTAAACCCACATAAACTTGAATAGGGGTTGGCGACCAAAGGTCTAAGGAATCAAGTTGTCGGCTAAATTCCGAGGCACGTGTCACCAGGGTCAGGACCGGTAACACGTCTTGCTTATGCTCAGAAGGTACACGGTTCGGTTATCGGTGGACTCACAGGCTCTCCTGCCTGAGATGTTGCGCGGGTTTCCCCAGTGCACCCAGGCAACCCCTGTGACAGAAACCCGAAACTAGGGCCTCCCCCGTCCAACTGAGCTACTGCATCCAATTATCTTGTCATATGACATCTCGTGAAGCTTACCAACAGACAGCCGTAATTCTCATGGATGAAAATCGCAGAGAGTTGAGCACCACGGATGTTCCGAGCAGCTCTGACAAAGTAACTTCTATCACATCAATCTAACATAATTTAATACTATACAGCAGCAGACCTGCAACATGTGTCACCGATCTTCAGGCCACAGAGAGATGTCACCGCCGGGGGTGCTTCTGTAGACATCTCTGCAGTCAACGGTTGAATTAGCGTATTCACAATGACAACTGTCACACTGACCAACAATGGTAATAAATGCATTATTGGTGTTTTCATAAGTTTAAAACAAAATGTACTGAAAACTAGATTTACTATGAAAACTACTGGGTAGGTTTCATCGTCTTTTCTAAGACACGGCTTTTCCCAGTTTAATTTTTTAATAATGAGAAATCATTAACTTGAGATTCATAAAACCCGCACACTTGTTCAAGCACGATAAGTTACTCCACTCTTTTGCAGAAGGTCAACTGGACAATATATTTAACTTCACAGGAATGTACTAATGTTATCCATATTTCGTGTACTTTCTGTAAATACTGTCCATCTCAAGGATTCCACACTTCACGTAAGCAATCAGACTGTACTAGTATAGAAGAAACATATATGTAGGTCTCTTATACAGTTCGATCGACCTAGCCCTCAGAGTGGGGAATGTGCTCCAGATGGGTGTCCAGACAGCGTGTCCCTTCTCTGACAAGCCGATCATTATCTCTGTCAACCTGTGGGTCACGATCCAGCCAGCTGTGACAATGATAGCACAAAATGAATCAGGTTCCGCAAACATTGGTTCCGTTTCTCGGTCACGGCAGTGCCGCGCCAACAATGGACTGCCCAGCAACAGAGAAAGCTGCACGGATGTTAGTAGTACCCGACCGCGCCCAGAATCGGATGCCAGGGGTAAATGTGGTCGGAACGTGAAACTGACGACTACCGCACCCAACTACGTGAACTTTATCTTCCTCCCCCACACGCTTCCGTGATGCGGTGCGCGTCGCTGCTTCCAACAGCACCACCTGTATGAAATCAAATTTCCCGTCACTGCTTTCTCGCGCAGGACCCTAATGTAATTTCTTCTGTAAAATGTGCAGTAAAAGCAATCTATAATTTTCTTGTTTCGACGAAAGTTTTGCAGTTCATTTAAACTCAATTTACTGTTACCCTGTTCGCCGAACGTAACCATAGCCACACGCTCGCACGCAGGCCGCAGTATGCTGCGTGTCGTGTTGCTAGTGATGTCCTTGTATCGCTACCCTGTAACACGCCGTGGAGGCCCATAGGTTGTGAGGCGTCGAGGCTCCCACATTTTCTAATCGGCTCACAGATGGCGGTGAAGTTGACAGCCTTACGCGCCGGCCACCTTTACCCCCAGGAAGATTCGTGGTACCCATTTCTGTTAGAGGATGAGTCCACCCCAGAGCCATAGTGCGGCTGGAAGAATTAGGTCAGTTGAAAAATCCAATGACCTCATCGGCAATCGAACCCGCGACCTTCCGGCTTGTAGCACAGTGCATAAACATAATCTCAACACATTGACAGTCAGGTTAGGAAGCCGATGCGAAGCCTGAGGAGAGAGAAGGCCGTGCGGAGTGAGCAGGGATTGTGTTTCCGGGGGCAAAGCGTACCACTGCTTTCTCAGTTGTACGAAGGAGAGGCTCGAGACAAGGGCCGCAGAATTCTTATTTATGATTGTGAATTGCATAATTTGGGGTGTTAATCTGGTGGCTCCCACAGCAAGGGGTTTAAATTTGATGAGGCCTGAAGCCCATGCATGTATACTTTCACGTGTATGGTCGTGACTATAGACGGGGTTTGGATTGGAGATTGGATTTATTGACCACTTTTAACACTCGACTCGTGACTGCACTTAATTATAGCGCCTTCACTGATCTCCCCACGTTAGAAATCACTACAGCACACGCTAAGACTTTTCAGTCTGTCTTCATTGGCCGTTTCCTGGTAACGGCTCTAACAAAGGGCATTCTTCAACTGCACCGACTAAGTCTTCTCTTCACAGACTCCCCTATAACTCTCCGAACTCCTGTTCCAATTGTCATTCTTATAAACATCTCGACACGGACCCTGTAGAAAACACCGTTCATTGTTGTACTCCAATCGTATCTGTGGGAACGTGTTTGTTTGCGAAGGTGTCACCCAGTAATGGATGCATATATTTGCTTATTAAGAATCTGTTGCCTAGCAGCGGATGTTGTTTCGAATTCATTTACCAGTACAAGCTATAATATTTAAAGATCCATTCCCCACCTCTCAAAAACACAGTGTTTCTCGGCTACAAAGACCAACCGCTTATGCTCTTTAGGGTAGTAATCGCTGTTTCTTCTGAGACGCGTATGACACACAGGGGCACAGTAAGCAGGCGGTAAACACAACTGTCACTGTGCTTCACGTAGTTATGTGCAGTAATGTATATGCCGACTGTGATAATGCAGGGGGGGGGGGTGCGAGGCGGTCGCAGCGCCCTGCTATAAAGGTACATGCCGACAGTTGCGAGGAATCCGTAAAACACAGCAACGATAATCTGAGACTCGGATTCGAACCGAGTACCTCCTGCATACGAGTGAAACGTGTCTCCACTGTTCGGGCGTTCTCCAGTCCTACTCCTGCAAGGGAATTTCCTTCGCCCTGAATATATTTGTTCCATGCGACTGAGACTTTAACACGGGCTCCCTGACCCGAAGCGAACAGAACTTAATTACATATTAAACGAATTGGATCAGCGAATTGTAAGGAGCAGCAATTAACTTAATCCACCGCTTAAAATGTAAACATGTCTGCTTACTGAAACGTTAACTTTATGGTAATGGCGGGGCTTTTGGAGTTATGATCCAATATTTCGAGGTCACGTTCCACTTACAGGCTTACAACAGAGATACTATGATTATGAGATAAGTTCAAAGTGTTCGTGACTCGTATCTGCGCTCACGAGAGATGGCGAGTGAACTCCCTCTCAAGCCAGATTAATCCAGCTCACATCCGCATATCCTATTTATTTATGGTCCATTTCAATATCATGCTCTCCCATCTATGTCTAGGCCTCCCACGTGGTCTGTTTCTTTCAGACTTCTCACTAACATCTGCACTTGGGGCCGCGCCATAGCTCAAGCGGTTAGTGGCTGGCTTCCCACTGCGGCGGCCCGGTTTCGATCCCGGGTCTGATCAAGTGGGATTTGTGGTGGACAAAGTGGCGCTGGGGCAGGTATTCTCCGGGTACTTCGGTTTCCCCTGCCAATCTTAATTCCACCAAATTCTCCATCATCATAATCATCTGGAGCAGGTACAATAGGCCAATCACTGGCCGCCGTGCCGAGTGGACCCAGTTGGATCCCCCCCCCAAGCGAATTTAAAAATTTAATTTAGCATCTGTACATATTTCGTGCGTGCTATATACTCCGATCAACTCTAATTTCCTGGTTACAAAACCATAAAAATATTAACTTAAAGAATATAAATTGCGAAATTCCTCGTTGTGTAATTTTAAGTCTTTCGAATAGTAACATTTTCCTTGTATCCAGTTTTGAACCCGCCTCAATCCATGTTCTTCCCACAATGTAAGACCAAGTTCCTTACTAATTAAAATTATGAGTTAATGTACATTTGAATCTTCAGATCCCTAAAAAGGACAGAATGTAAAATACTGCAAAGGGAACGGCAGCAATAGTGCCCGAATTCCTCCTATCGTTACAGCTACTTGGAATTTACAATATTCATCTCGCCTCAACCTCAGCACAATACAAAGTTCTGAGGCGGGACAACCAGTAAATCGATTACCTTATACTCAACGTCACTTGGACAGCAATTACACTGATTCTGGATATTTGAGAAATTATAATCAATGTTGAAGATAGCAGTCTTCTGGGATGTGGCGCCGAGTAGATAGTGTTAATCAACGTTTCGCCTCCATCTTCAGGGTAAAGAAAAAAGAAAATTCGCGAGCGAAGAACCAACGTGAGCAGGCGCTAACAGACAAGTCTGTTAGAGTTGGTTAAGACATCTACACGATGCCACATCCCAGAGACGGCTTTCTTCATAGTCACCGCCGCGAAAACGTCAAATCTTACATAATCAATGTTAATTCGCATGTTCTGTAGCTGACTTACGTGGGAAAACGTACTCTCAATCGTTTTAGACCGAGGCGGTCTTTACTTACACGAGTTTTCAGAAAGACAGTCTACATCATGCACTGGCCTTGGCAGGTCGCAATGTTCTGTGATATACGATAAACTAGAAAACAACAGTGTCCATTGCATCTTCTTAGTCTTTGGAATTCTGTTACGCCTGTTCATTCAGTTTATTTGATTGTGCTGTTTAACAAGAAAACAACCGATAAAACATGCGGAAGTAATCAATAAATTATTCAAGCCTATACCTTTCTGCCTGAAATTCATTGTTCATTATATTACAAATTTAAAGCGTGCAAAACATTAAACTAAAACATAATGACTTTGGGCTTTCGAGTTCAAGTATCACAGCCGGTCATGCCCGGTGACATGGGACAGCAGTAATGTTGCAGCAATACGACCGTCTCTGCAGACAGCGGCTGTCGGAATTTCATGTTCCATCTGTTAAATCAGAATATGACGCAGCGATAACGAAAATATTCGCTCTTACAGCGTTCATCGGTGTCTTCTGGTTCAAAATCGGGAATGAGCGCTGGGACGTTGTGCTCCTCTCGCGCACTACAACAATCAGCGCCCCATGCATGTAAAGGTTACCCTACCTCTCTCTAGCAATACCGCACTCTCTGAATCCGAATGACTTTATATCGTATAACACATTGCATAAAATCGATACATATCGCTACAGGTCGAACATTCACTTATATCTAACACATACACGTATTTAATGAACGGGATCAACAAGTTATTCTTAAATTACTTCCAAACCCAGAGCTCGAAAATCAAGCACTGCTTTATAATGAAACTCTTCAAATATTCTCTGCTCTCCGGTTCTGTTGCTTTCCTGCAGTCCCCATCCCACCTCAGAATAATGCAATATGAAGAACGCGTTAAGTCTGCTAGCATAATGCCAGTCGGCTTGTCTCGTGTCTGAATACCAGATGAGGCCTGGCTCCATCTAATATTAATGGGGGCAACTGGTTCTCGACAAGTAGCCTGATTTTGTGCGGGAGCTGCGAGCGGAAGGTTCAAGACAACCTCTCACTAATTAACTCCTTGTGTTACAATTCGATCTCCATTAAAATGCAATCTGCAACGCCATTTCTGCTTCTTAGCGCTTGCGTAACG